TTTTACCATTTTCATCTCTTGTTATCTTTTTAGAAGTTGGAATAAACACCGAATGAAGAAGAAAGAATAAAACCGCATATTTACAATCTAATATCAAGAAAAATCTTTAATTATAATATAATACTCATAAAAAAGAAGAACATATTATTAAGATCATTAAATAATTGAATAATATACTGGTATATATATCTTTCGATATATTGAAGTATTTACTTTCAGTTGGGTGTGAGGTTTTTAACATTTCATCTAATTGTTTTTTTGAACTAGGATCTTTTATTTTTTCTTTCAGCATTGTCAATAAATTTAACTGAGATTTTTCAAAGTTTTCAATAAAATTGCATTCAGGATACATTTTTTTTGAAATCAATATTAACCTAGAAAAAAAAATATTTTAACATATAAAGTGAATGAAATACAAAAGTACAAGACAATGAAACTTGTTAATATAAATTTCTCATAAGTGTATATCCCATTAGTTCTTTAAAGTGCTTCCAATTAAGAAAAATATTTCCCTCTTCTTTAATATTTTTTAATCTATAATTGGTGGTTTTCAACCCTATATTGTTTCAATTTCAGGTTATGTTAGTACTTCATGATGCAATTGTGATGTTTGTATACTGATATCTTCAATTTCTAAAAATGATTAAGTTATAAACATTGTAAATAAATTTGAAACACAGTTAAATTTGTAATATAAATACCTATAATGTTATCAAATGATGATGATGATCGGCTTGTAGGCAAATTTGTTTCAGTTGACTGACACATTTTCTTATCAACTAAACTATGGTTTTGTAGTTGTTTTAAAGTGTTGAAATACTTGGAATAAATTTTACCTTCAGGATTAGGAGTCTTATTAATGGAATCTTTAATGAAGTATATGTCCTAAAATAAAAAAAAACTTTATAGTATTGATTCATTGTCAGTTTATATTATTGAAGACTCTTAATTTTATTAAATAGGAAATTTAGCAACAACTGTGTCCTCTATAACATTTTCTAAAGAAATAGACATTGATATTTTTACTTTTATAATATGATTAATGATAGCAGTCACAATTATTGATCTGCAAGAATCATTTAAACAATTATGTAGACCTTAATAATCAATTACATATGCACACTGATTATTTTCTTCAAATACAGTTTCAAGACAAAATGAAGTTTTTTACTGAGGAATAGATAGAGGTAACGCTGACGTTATTGATGAATCACATATCTTGGTCAAACTATTTAAAATGTCGTTTTCCGAAAGTGTTTTATGCCATAACTTAAGACTTGCTTCAAATTTAATTATTACACCAAGTGGATAAAGTAATATAAGTTTTTCTACGTGATGTACTTGCATGTTATTTAATGCTGCTACATCAATATAATTATCAAAACAAATTATTAAACTAAAGTTAAAATACATTTAAAATGGCTAGGTAATGGTAGGTATATAACAGTTTACTTATACAAGTTTGATGCAGAAGCGCTAGATCTCATGACTATGGGTGCTTTAACTTCATTATTTACCAATGTTGGAAATAACATATCTATCCGGTCATTCTGGTCTACAATGATATTATCAAATACATTTGAACAGTTGTCTGGTAACTGGTATGATTGGCTCATTGTGACTTTAATTTAAATGGTGTAAAATATAAGACTTAAAAACATATTAATAAGACAAAAAAATGTAATATTAAGTAGGTAATTAATAATTAAATTTAAAAATAAATGTATTGATTTAAGATACATGTATCTAACTAAATACATATATATAAGATATATTCTTTTAATCGAATCATTAATGATCCATCCAAATTTGTATTAATGTTTATTGGTGGACCATTAAAATCCTCTATTTGCATAGCTAAAGTAAGAATTTCAGATTTATTTTTATTGATCATATATGATTTCAAATTTTCAACATAGCAATCAACTTTAATTTGTTTAAAAATAAATATAATTTTATTTGTTGAGTTTACTGAAACAATTTCTAAAATTTCATAAAAAGTAAGTTCATATGTAAGTGTTGTGACATAATAATCAATTTTATACACAGTACCTTTAAATTTCAATTGTGTGTAACAGTCATATATTTTTAATTTATCCTCTAATTTGTCAGCTAGGATCTCATGGAAACTACAGTCAATTTTATGTTTATCAGCTTTAATAACATCATCATCTTTTGTACCATTTAAAAAATCCAAGAATTTTAATTGGCATTTTTTAGCTAATGATAAGGCTATATTTTTTCTTGATATTATAGCACGGGCATACATTTTCAGTTCTCTATGTTTTGATTCATATTTGAAACACCAAAAATGCTTAGGTAGTCCAGATTTTTGAATTATTGAAGGATAATGAGTTAAGAAATGGTGTTTAGGTTGTAATGTATATTTTAATAATGTAACATAATCTAAATTATGATTTTTAATGATTCGTTTAACGCAAGCAATTGAATCTTGTGTCAGCTTATGTGACATTAATATGTCAACTATCTCAAAAAAGTTTTAAAAAAATATGTATGCCAAGTATTATCATTATTAGGTTTTAAATCACCTATCATTAAGGGTAAAAAATGAATAGAACACATCATTTCCCTTGCCAATATTTTTAAATGAAATTTTAATAAATAGTGTTTTTCAATGATATGAGAGTTTGTTACTTATTTCTATGGCAACATAGTTAAAATATTGTTTCCTATTATTTAGAGTTTCCAAGGAAATTATTTTAACATCCAAAATGTAATGTTGAAGAATGTGGCATACATTTTAGTGGCAAACACCTTCAAAAAGATCATGCATAATATCAACACAGTAATTTGTTATAACGTGGAATGAATCAGTTTGATTCAAAATACACTCTTTGTATATACCTGTTAATTTAAAGTCATTTATTTCAAAATCTGTATGATAATTATGAACATTTCTTAGCATTGATTCATTTCCTACAGCCAAATGCTTGATCAATGATTTGTTTACTTTGAAAAACCGACAGAAAAATTAACAGAAAATGACTTACTAAAATCACATTTATAGTTGAATTCCAAGTTATCTCCAATAACTAAACCCAAAATAAAATGCCCATTTCTTTATCACATGATGTGTTTATAGAAATCCCATCTCTTTCTAAGCTATTTGATTCATCTACTAAATTCTTAAAACACAAATTATTTCCAAAAATGTTTAAATCATTTGCTTTAATTAAAACAGCTTAAAATATTTCTGAAATTTTTGAGTTATTTTTACTTAGAGGGAAACTATAATATACAGCAGATATAGATTGAAAATTTGCATTTGAACCTAAGGGATTGTTGATTTCAAAGTCATCAATATATATGAAGTTAGTAAGAACTATTTTGTTTTGAAATAACTTAACTTTATGTTTCCATAAATATTCTTGAATGAAATTAGATAGAAAATTATCATCTAAGATATTTAAAATATCATACAATTGTAATGTTTGAATGAGTACCTATATAATTTTTTTCATAATATTTTTGAAACTGGAATTTTAATGGAAGTATAATTCCCTTTGTATTTATTTCATCATACTCAGTTTTGCCAGCATGAGACACAAAATTAATGAATATTTATTGTGAATTGCATAATATCTGCAGTTAGTTCCTGGTTAGACAACCACTTGTTCAACTTCATTCACTACTACAACATTTAAAAAGAGAAGATATTTCAGATATGATCATATTTGTGTTTGATATTAATAAAGGACCATTAATCTTATCTAGTAAAGTGCCTTTGAGTAATAATGTAAATTAATATTTTATCAGAAATTTCATTTTGAATATTTGAAAATATCTTTTCTAGAAAAATTATTATTATGTAATTGAAGACTAAATTTAACAGTTGACACACTAAGAGAATGCAAAGCTTCTTTTAAATTAAAATGATTGGTATTCAACAATCGTGGAGAATTTGTATTATATTTAAAGTATAAGAATTTGTATCAATTAATGGTGCAGAAAAAGTATTAATATGACACGGTTTTACAATAGCATTTGCATTATCATCACTGTTTACTTCAGTAAGTTTAGAACTATTATTATTTATCCTAATTATATGCCTCCTAAAACCATTTAAATTTTGAAATGTTTGAGAACAGTTGCTCTCAGAACACTCATATGTGTTTAAAGGATCAAGAAAATGCATAAATTTATAGTGAAAAGCCAATGTTGAAAATGTATTTACACTAATTTTACAAATAAAACAAATCATAATACTAAGTTAAAAGTTAAAAAATACCAACTATATTACCTCTATGACTTTAATATCTTTATTAAGCCTTTTTCAATTTACAATGTTTTCAAAAGCACAATACACCTGTAAAATGTTAAAATTAATCTTAATGCAAAATTACTTGAGTTTTTTTTTAATAAGTTATATTATAGCCTACAGCACTCGGAACTAGTTGTGTAGGTATTTAAATTTTTTTTTCGGTTAATTAGATTTACAGCTATAACAATTTATATCCAGTTCATAATGAGTTATGACACACATTACAATATACTATAATATAATATATATTTTCATAAATTATATGCAATATACACATTGTGTAACATAAACTTTTTAAGATATTTATAGTATTATAAGACATTTTAGATTTTAATTTGTTTTTTTTAAATTTTTTGTGGATAACATAATTTTACTTGATCAAAAGACATAAAAGCTTAATACAATCCTAAGTTTTTTTGGTGTGGGTAAACTAAAAAAAGAAAATTAAACTTAAACTCACAATAATTTCCTTTCTACAAATGTACCTAACTATAGTATAATATATTTAAGGTAGCTCTTATTCTATAAATGTAATTATAATTTAATTAATTCAAATCCATCGTTTTCAGATTTTTTTAATCATGCCTGATCAAAAAAAATCAAATTATATACAAAACACAAGTAGCACTAATCATACAATTAATAATGAAGAGTCTAGAAAAAGTAAGAATATCTACTTCACTTAACATGTATTGGTATTAATTTGTACTAAACAAAAATGTTTGATGTAGTTGATGATGAACTAAAACAAGAAGACAAAATTTGTATTGACAGTAACTCTAAGCAAGATGAGAGAACTGACAATAAAGAATCTGGTAAAAGTAAGAATACATAATTTAAGTTTGTTTTGATTGATGTTATACTTAATAGATAATATTTTAAATATAGTTGATGATACTGAACCCAAACCCAAAGACAAAGTTACCTCCGACAAAATATCTAAGCAAGATGAAAGAACTGATAATAAAGAA